CATCTCCTGTAACTGGGTACTAACCCCTGACCTTTACCCTCACCAGAGAAAAAGAGGGTTAATGATGCTTAGATGGTTTTTAGAATAGAAGAAGGACCATGCTGATTCCCGTTCCTACTAGATACATTATGGATGAAGAATCTTCTACCACCTTGGTGTAGGAATCAGGTTACCCCATTAATCTTTCCTCCAAGCTTACGAGTTGAACATTTTGATATCCCATCATATGGGCACATCCTTAGAATAATTCAGGCAAAGGATCTGACATCTAATTCCTCTGGACTGCAGTGAGGGTCAAGGGCAAGCAGGATTATCACCAAAGATAATGAGAAACTGCCTCTCTGTGGCCTCTCCATCCATCAGCTATCAACGTGTCTATTAGGCATGTCCTTCCATCGGCTAAGCTCAGAGTTTAGTGAATTTGGATTCCTGCTCTGCTTGAACCATTTTTATTCCAGTTTGGTAAATAACAGGGTGTTTTGTAAATAATTTCTGTGATTATTCAGATCTTTCAGTTCCTCGATACTTTTCCCATTTTTATTTTGTCTTGTAGTTTGTAAACCCAAGAGCAGGGATTGCCTTTCATTTTTTAAAGCCACTCTAAGGAGTCTAAGATGCGGTGGCTCAGTGGCTAAGATGCTGAGCTTGTCAATCGAAAGGTCGGCAGTTCAGCGGTTCGAATCCCTAGTGCCGCGTAACGGGGTGAGCTCCCGTTACTTGTCCCAGCTTCTGCCAACCTAGCAGTTCAAAAGCACGTAAAAAATGCAAGTAGAAAAATAGGGACCACCTTTGGTGGGAAGGTAACAGCGTTCCATGCACCTTTGGCATTTAGTCGTGCCGGCCACATGACCACGGAGACGTCTTTGGACAGTTGCTGGCTCTTCGGCTTTGAAACTGAGATGAGCATCATTCCCTAGAGTCGAGAACAACTAGCACATATGTGCGAGGGGAACCTTTACATTTAAGGAGTCTTTTATGAAAAGAAGAAAGAGGAGAAGCGGAGGAGGACAAAATAGACTTGAAGACACTATCCCTCGCTTAAGTTGAGGGTTGAGATGTTGAGACTCTAGAAAGAGTACAGAGAAGAGCAATAAAGATGATTAAGGGACTGGAGGCTAAAACATATAAAGGACAGTTGCTGGAATTGGGTATGCCTAGTTTAATGAAAAGAAGGACTAGGGGAGACATGATAGCAGTGATCCAATATCTCAGGGGCTGCCACAAAGAAGAGGGAGTCAAGCTATTCTCCAAAGCACCTGAGGGCAGGACAAGAAGCAATGGGTGGAAACAACCTAGAACTAAGGAGAACAATTAATCAGTGGAACAACTTGCCTCCAGAGGTTGTGAATGCTCCACCACTGGAAGTTTTTAAGAAGAGATTGGACAATCATTTGTCCGAAATGGTATAAGCTTTCCTGCCTGAGCCTTGCTTTGCTTGCACGTACTCCTTTGGGAGAGAAACAGAGCTTCAAACAGGCTCCTAATCAGCTCCAGCAGCTCCGGTGAGAACAGCAGGAATGGCGCGGAACGCAGCTGGGCCATCCAATGAGCCAGAAAGTAAATTATAAATGGATAGCATAGAACAGGGGCAGATAGGTAGGCCCAGCCAGTGATCAGAGCTAAGAGTTCACCCGAACCCTTGTGACCATGTAGCAGCCCACCACTGGTTCTGTTCTGTTCTGTTCTGTTCTGTTCTATTACCTATCCCAGGTCCTTGGGAAGGAGTCGCCAAATGCCCAATCCAGTCTGAACATCTGGAAGTCCTTCCCCCTCCCCAAGATTGGCACTTCCTCAGGCAACTGGGGGCATCTCTGCATCTACATATAACATTATATCCCATCTTCTACCACTCCCTTAGCCTCTTTCTTGCTGAGATGGTTCATCCCTTGAAGTGGGGACAACCCGTAACTATCTGGGGATAAGGACTGACTTATGAACAGCAGTAAGCGGAAGTGTGAGGACACTACAAAACAAAGAGAGGGAATCATTTCCTACTGCTGGTGTAACTTAGAAACCTCTACTTAGTGTTCCAGCTTACAAGCAGTATTTTTTTTTTAATTTGATTTATATGCCGCCCTTCTCCGAAGACTCAGGGCGGTTTACAGTGCATTAAGCAATAGCCTTCATACTTTTGTATATTTATACAAAGTCAGCTTATTGCCCCCACAACCGGGTCCTCATTTCACCTACCTTAGAAAGGATGGAAGGCTGAGTCAACCTTGAGCCTGGGGAGATTCGAACTGGTGTAATTGCAGACAGCTGAATGTTAATTACGGTGCTTTAGTCTGCAGAGCTAAACCAGGCTCTTTTTCCTGGGAAATACGGTTTTCCCTAGAATACTTCTCAGAGACTGCCTGAAACCCAGCAAATGTCATAGCTGCCTGTCACGTATTGACAAGCAGAGGAATCATGCTTTTGTTTATTCCCCATGAAACCCAATCTCTTATGTCAGAGAAGAGCTTTTGTAGACTTTCACTTGGTAGAATGACTATCACTGTCTTGCATTAGCAATAGCACTTAAGACTTATATACCGCTTCACAGTGCTTTTACAGTCTGTAAACTAAGCGGTTTACAGAGTCAGCCTATTGCCCCCAACAATCTGGGTCCTCATTTTACCCACCTCGGAAGGATGGAAGGCTGAGTCAACCTTCAGCCTGGTGAGATCTGAACTGCCGAACTGCAGCTAGCAGTCAGCTGAAGTACTGCAGTACTGCACTCTAACCACTGCGCCACCTCGGCTCTGACATTAACATGTGAGTTCTATAAGACTTTGGGAGTTGTGACTGTACGATAATTCAAGCCATGAAATAAAAGTCTTGGTGGACTCATCTTTCAGGTGCACAGAAATGCAGAGGCAGACGTAAGAGATTAAAGTCAGATCAATTGATCAGGATAGTAAACTTTTTCAGCAGACAAACCCAAGCTTTTATCCTCACTCTGGCAGCCAAACACCCAATGAGAAGATAATGGTGTTATTATTTTGTTTATTTTATTCTTCTTATAGATTCAGACTTCTCCACTGCAGCACGCTATAGTTTGCAGTGCATCCATTAAGAACAACACAACCAATCCATATAGTAAATTGAAACCACCCACTGCTCTACCAGCGTCTAGTATTAGCAAGTCTCTGAGTTAAAGCCCAGCAAATTAGCTCAGTCTTCACCACTTTCTCGCTTACTGTAAGAAGCTCCAGAAATAAAACTATTGAATTGAATTCCAGGATGAAAGTGTTATTGACAATCTTGTTTCCTGCCCTCCAAACCTCACCTATGGGATACTCTCAACCAGGGCCGGATTTAGATGAAAAGAGGCCCTAGGCTATTCCACTTATGAGGCCCTTTCACCTATAGTGAAAGTGTAATTTTAATTTTGCTAACAATTTGAATGTAGGCCCCTCTTGATCTTGAGGCCCTAGGCTGAAGCCTAGTTAGCCTATAGGAAAATCCGGCCCTGCTCTCAACATATCTACTCAGATATTTACAGACTAGACAGCTGGTTCTACATGAAGGAGGCAGTCTTAATGTACCTAGATGCTTGTCATTGAAAGGAGGGGTTTTTGAGTATTTTTCCTACATTGGTAAACAATTGGGAGCGTTTTAACAAATTGCTGCATCACTGTTTGGTTTGGTGGCAGCAGTGCCTCAGATAGAAAGTCCATACAGAGAGTGGTGAGGACAGCCGAGAAGATCACAGAAAGCTCGCTTCCTGTTATTCAGGATACTGCTTATAAGCGCTATGTGTTTAGAGCTCAAAGAATGTTAGCGACCCCACACACCCACTTCATGGCCTTTTTCTGTTGCTCCCCTCTGGGAGGAGGTTTCAAAGTATTTCTAGCAGGACTACCAGATTCTGTAACAGCTAAGTTCCCTATGCCATCCGTCTGGTAAACTCGCAAGATTCGTTTTTCTCGCCGTGTACATGTATTCATCCGACCTAAACTGTGTTGTTTCTCTGTGTCCTATAATATATGTGGGTATATGTATAATTTTGTATTTATTTATTTATTTTGTCATGTTTATGTAATGTATAATGGAGGTGGTGACCCTTTGAGAGCTGTATGCAACAAAATTTCATTTTAATGTATGGCAATTAGTGTACATTCAAAATGACAATAAAGTTATTCTAAGTCTAAGGTCCCCAGCTCTTCATTTTTTAAACTACTACATCTATTTGAGTCTTGTGATGCTTCTTCTGTTTCTCATCATAAAGGTGGCATAAAGTAATGCCACCATTTATTGGTAATTATATAATGATGCGGTCTTGGGGTGAACTCTAAGGACTACAAAAAAGTAAGTCCATAGTCTAGAAAATAGGTTGCCCATCTCTGTCATTGGAAATCCTACTTCTTGACGTGACAGCTGTTCTAGACCAGGGGTCTGCAAACTTAAACACTCAAAGAGCCATTTGGACCTATTTCCCACAGAAAAGAAAACACTGGGAGCCACAAAACCCTTCCTGTGCCTGACTATTTCTTGAGCGGCCACAAAATTAGCATATGTAGTTGAATTAAACATTCTGAAACTTTTCTTTTCTTGGATTTATCCATGGTTGGCCTACCGGGGGTTGAAAAGCTCAATAAGTTGCATACCGGTGGGTGTCGCACATTGGCAGTTGTGACACATATTTTGAGTGACAGGGAGCTGCAGCAGAGGGGTGAAAAAGCCACATGCGGCTCCAGAGCCACAGGTTGCTGACCCCTGTTCTAGACCAATTGAAGACTAAGATTTGCTGAAAGTACCATTTTAGAACAGAAAGTACAACGCAAACCACTTTGAGACTTTTTAAAAAACTAATGGGAAGAAGAACACCCATGTTTTATAATAAAGTACAATATGTGGCACTGGTTAACAATTGGTTTGGGAAACAACAGATTCTACTGAAAAGAGCTGCTTTTGCTAAACACTGTAATCATAAAAAGAAAACAAACAGAAAGAAGGTTCAAGGAAGGTTAGTTCTAAAACATTCAAAGTTCTAATTTCAAAGTTAATGGTCTACTTACCGCCTCCACTTCTGCTGGGTCATACCAGACATTGATATACGGATGTTGTAAGGCTTCATCCACTGATATCCGTTTGGCTGGGTCAATCACTAGCATCTTTGATAAAAGGTCTCTAGCTTGGCTAGCTGGAGCAACGAAAACAGAAAATGCATCAGTACGGGAAAGAATGGATGGAGATATAACTTACAATGCCATATTCAGTGGCTTCAATACATATTTTGAAGATGTTCTGCAGAACTCACTTTTGCTAAAGAACAAGAAAGTTTATAGATGGTTCCGTTAGATCTTTTGGAAGCCAGAAGTAGCAATTTTAAGTTGAAGCTGTTTATAAAATTAATATTTTAGAATATCTGACTTAGGAACAAAGGTCATTTCCCCCCTTTTTCCATTTCCTATTTTGTTTAGTTCATTTCTTTTTTTCTACATCAGTTTGGAATTTTTATTTTTCAATGGTTGTATACAATAGACATGTATTTGTATACAGTGTTTTCAATAGTTGTATACAATAGACATGTATTTATATACATTTTCCTTAATGCACTTTGCATTAAAAATCTAAAATATGCAGGTTTATTTTTGTGTGTGAATGTGTGTGTGTGTGCCAATTTATCTGATTTATATAGCTGTCCATCTTACACAGCAAGTGACTCTGGGTAACATATAAGAAAACTACAACAATAAATATCTAAAATCATTAATTATTATTTATATAAAATTACACACACACATGCACACACTTTCAGGAATATTTCAGAATATTTCTTCCCAACTTTCCCTGATAGGTCCACTAGTTCATATTTCAAAATAGTTCAGATGTGCTGAGAAAGAACTAACAGATCTTGGTTTAACCATTTAAGAGCTTAGGTATGTAGGTATGTAGGTAATGTAGGTAGGTAGGAAGGAAGGTAGGTAGGTAGGTAGGTAGTAGGTAGGTAGATAGATAGATAGACAGACAGACAGACAGACAGATTATAGATAGATGATACAATAGATGATAGATGGATAAATGATAGATAGATAGATAGATAGATAGATAGATAGATAGATAGATGGATGGATGGATGGATGGATGGATGGATGGATGGATAGATGGATGGATAGATAGAGCTAGAAAGATAGATGATATGGTAGATGATAAATGATAGATAGATAGATAGATAGATAGATAATAGAAAGATAGATAGAAAGAAAGAAAGATAGATGATACAGTAGATGATAAATGATAGATAGATAGATAGATAGATAGATAGAGATAGATAGATAAATGATACAATAGATGATAGATGGATAGATAGATGGATGGATGGATTGATGGATGATGGATGATGATAAATAGATGATACAATAGATGATAGATAGATGGATGGATAAATGATAGATATATAGATAGATAGATAGATAGATAGATAGATAGAAAGAAAGAAAGATAGATGATACAGTAGATGAAAATGATAGATAGATAGATAGATAGATAGATAGATAGATAGATAGATGATACAATAGATGATAGATGGATAGATGGATGGATGGATGGATGGATGGATGGATGATGGATGATGATAAATAGATGATACAATAGATGATAGATAGATAGATGGATAAATGATAGATAGATAGATAGATAGATAGATAGATAGATAGATAGATACAGTCTGCTTTGTTGCTGAATTATATGCTGCTCTAAAATTTAGACTGCAATCCATCAGAAGAATTACCCAATTGTAAGGAACGTGAGAATTCCTGCTTAGGCTAACCTGCATGGGATAGGTAGTATCATTTACACAACCACAAACCTGATTGAGTTTAACAAAAATTTAAGTATTCGTTGGAATAGTTTTTTGAATGATACTTTTCTTTATTGTTCTTGGGTCGTATCATTATCAGAGATGGAGCATTTTTTGACACTAGATGAATAATCCATGCACATAAAAACATATCTACAAGTTTAATTCAGGAAGGCAACAAAAGAAAACACATTTTTTTCTGTGCATATGCTTTAAATCCCCTGTTCAATCCCACCTCCTTTTTTTTTTTTTTTTTGTTTCACCACAGGAGTGAAGTTGGATGAGGAAGGAATCAAGAGGGAAATAAATATATGTGTAAATAAATGACATGCAAATTGTAGCGGATTAACAAACATTATGCGTTGCCACTGCAGAAAGCCTTAAGAATCTAATGCCTTCAAAATTGATATCCATTTTAAGTTGGTAGATTCCAGAGCTGTAAATGAAAACATTTTCCCTCAATCCATGTTTTCTTAGGACGTTTATTTTCATGTTGAAGACAATCACAGGATTCCTTTATATTTAAATCATCTCTATTCAAACCTCTGCAGATAATGGCTACATCTCATCTGGCACTGTGGTTATAAGGTGGTTTTCAATTATCGGTATTAAATCTGCCAAAAGTGAAGGTGGCATACCTTCTACTAACAAAGGTTCAATTCAAGCCAATTTGAATTATTGGCCTTCACAATTTCTACCAAAGTTTCACGTGAATTGATTCAGAGTCATGCAAGTTACAGCTTAGGTCTTCATCGTCTGAAGGGGCCTCTCAACAATTAAACCTTTCCAAATAGCTAACACAAACTGATTGTTATATTTTGTTTCTGCATTCATTTACAATTTGTCCAAACAAATATACGTATACATCTATTTGACTCCTTTTCTGTGTTAAACTGGAAAATTTAAAGCTCAGGTAAGATTTAGGTGCAGTTTCATATGGAAATGGAGTAGAATGGATTTACACATGTATTTATTTCAAAATTAGTTAGTGCCCTAAGCCAGGGGTCTCCAACCTTGGCAACTTTAAGACTTGTGGACTTCAACTCCCAGAGTTCCTCAGCCAGCTGGCTTTAAGACTTGTGGACTTCAATTCCCAGAATTCCTCAGTCAGTTAGCTGAGGAACTCTGGGAGTTGAAGTCCACAAATCTTAAAGTTGCCAAGGTTGGAGACCCCTGCCCTAAGCTAACACCCACAGTAAAAATACAACTTTTTCATAATGAAACAAATCAGAAATCAGACTCCTCCACCACCCTTCTCCAACTGGCAGCAACAGATGTATTGGGACTACAACTCCTAGAATTCTCCAGTCCCTACACATCTGGAGAGGCCTAGTTTAATCCACCCATCCCTGGTAATTAAATTTAACAGTCCTAATTGTAGCTTTCCTTTGATAGTAGGAATTGTAAACTTTGGATTAAACATTTTCAGGAAAAAAAAAACAGATGGGGATAAAATAGTAGATGATGGAACACATATATTCATGTCGCAATTATATTTCCAAGGACATCCTCACCACTCATTTAAATTTATCTACAACCTTTCAGTGTTATAGTCTGGTTTTAAATCAAGCCTGTGACATTTGACGACACAATCATGACCCTATTCTGGTGACAGGTGTGTAAAAATAAGAAAGAAATTATGGCTGGCAGCACCAGTAGGCATGTATATGTATGAGTTCGTGTGTATGTATAATCCCTGCCTTGTAGATACACTAACCTATATATCATCAAAAGGGATGGGAGGAGACTAGAAAAAGATAATCTGTCATAATTGTTGACTGATGCCATTATCACATCCTGGGACATCAAAAAATCAAGATGAAGTCACAATTGCACAAAGAACTTCCCTTTAAAAACATACCACATACAAGGCACATTAAAAAAGACCAGGAAGGCTTTGATTGCACACCGTTATGGCCCTTTCTTGACTTTTTTTCACCTATCTGGCCTCCTCTTGGCATCACCGCTTAGCATTTTCAAGTATGATATGTAAAACACCATTTACCATATTTTTTGGAGTATAAGACGAACTTTTTACCCCCTATAAGAGGGTGAAAATTGCCATTGCCTATTGCCCATTCCGATCCCCATAAAAAATGGGGCGCGTGGAGGCCGAAAACAGGATGCGGAGTGCGAAAATGGGGCGCGCGGAGGCGGCAATAGCAATCCCTACAGCCTGAAACAACTGATTGTCGGGAGGCCGATCCAACCAACAATCAGCTGCTTGTGCTAATCAGGCTGTGCTGAAGCTGAAACGGGCTGTTTGCTGTTTGCTGCAAGGGAGGCAAATTGCTGGGAGGCAGAGGCAATTTTTTTTTCTTGTGCTAATCAGGCTGTGCTGAAAATGAAAATGAAACTGAAGCAAGCTATTTGCTATTTGCTGCAAGGAGGCAAATTGCTGGGAGGCAGAGGCAGATTTTTTTTTCTTGTTTTCCTCCCCAAAAAAGGTAGGTGCGTCTTATAGTCCAGAGCGTCTTATACCATGAAAAATACAGTAGATCATTTGGGGTCAATCCGAGTACAGGTAGTCCTCGACTTATAACCATTCATTTAGTGACCATTTGAAGTTACAACGGCACTGAAAAAAAGTGACTTATATGATTGGTTTTCACACTAACAACCACTGCAGCACAACCACTCATGTGATCAAAATTCAAATAAGTGGTTCATATTTATAAGGGTAGTGTCATACAATCTCCCCCTTTGCGACCTAAAGCAAAGCTAATGGGGAAGCCAGATTCACTTAACAGCCGGGTTGCAAATTAAACAACTGCAGTGATGCACCTGTGGCAAGAAAGGTGATAAAATGGGGCCAAACTTCCCTTAATGACTGTCTTGCTTAGCAGCATAAATCTGAGACTCAATTATGGTCATAAATCGAAGACTACCTGTAAATATTTTTTTTAAGGCTGAAAAGAAAGGGAACAAAATTGTGGCAGTGATCCTTTCCCCACATTGGGATCAACAGAGAGTGGGAGATGTATTTAGCAACGCTCCTCTGACATGAGGCAGGACACTTAGTAAAGCTTAATAGATCCAGATCCAGTCAGTGACCAGAAGGGAGACTGTCTGGCTGATCCCATGTGCATTCATGACTGTAACTTTGTTGCTTTTATCCTTACGATTTATATTGATATTGATTGTTTCCTAATATGCTTTGATTGCTTATTTGTACCCCTATGACCATCATTAAGTGTTGTACCTTATGATTCTTGATGAATGTATCTTTTACGTACACTGAAAGCTTATGCACCAAAGACAAATTCCTTGTGTGTCCAATCACACTTGGCCAATAAAGAATTCTGTTCTGTTGTGTTCTGTTGTGTTCTGTTGTTCTATTCTATTCTATTCTATTCTATTCTATTCTATTCTATTCTATTCTATTCTATTCTATTCTATTCTATGTTGTCATGGGTTTCACCCTGGCAGTAGTCTTGGATGTAAATTCAATAAATACATTCCTAATGCAAGGCAAGCTTGCACTCATTGCCCTAGTTCAGGGGTGTCAAACTAAATTTCATTGGGGCCCGCATCAGGTTGGTGTTTGATTTTGGGGGGGGGGGGCAGGTGCGTGTGGCCAGCTCGACGTCACTTGTGTCAGGGGCGCCTATGGCAGTCTGAGCGCTCTGCCAGCGAAAACAGTCTCCTGCAACCCTGTGTGCGGCCCTCCCAAGGTCCGTTTTTGCTGGCAGAGGCACTATGCTGTTTCCAGGGCGGCCCCGCGGGCCCAATCTAAGCACCCCGTAGGCCGGATCCAGCCCCCGGGCCTTCAGTTTGACACCCCTGTCCTAGTTCATGCATGCTTCGCGCATCACTGGCATTCTTACCTTTGAGTTTGTTGTGTTCTGAATCAGCTGGAAAAAGAGAGTCTGGAAAAAGTTTAGGGAAAGTTAGGCCAGCGTATTTAGGCCGGTTTTCCACGTAGTTCCGCACTGTGGGCTGGAGTTTCTTCATGAATTCTGGACAGGGAGTTCCCAGCTGTTCAATTACCTTATTCCACTGGTCAATATCTGAGCAGAGAGAGTTAAGGAAACAATGGCTGCAGAATCCCACCCCACCCTCTTTCCCAACCACTCCAAGCTTTCTTAGAATCTTGCTGTCGTTGTCATCTAAAGATAACAAACTAAATTCAGCTTATGAAAACTCTGCCAACCTTTGTGTACTGTATCAGAGCAATATCATCCATACCAAAATAAGACCAGTGACTTGGAAATTCACCTTAGGTGACTCCCACTGATTTGGATACAGATAGTCCTCACTCAACGACTGCCTCATTAAACAATGTTCAAGTTATGACGGTGTAAAAGAAAACAGCTTGGGGGGGCAACATTTCACATGTACCACTGTGCATGCAGCAAGTAGAGTTGATGGAGAATGCGGAATTAAAATCACAAATCGTGCTTGTGTGATGTTTCATTTAATGATCGTTCTGGTTCACTGAATGACTGAATGGGAAGTGATGTCATAAGTCGATCACACTTTCGTGATTCCCTGCTGAGCAACCATACCACTTAGCACCAGAAATGCCAATTGTGGCCGCTAAGTGAGGATTACCTGTATAAGAAGGCAATCTGATTCATACATTACCTTGGTGGCTTAAGTGGTGACTGGCCCATCCACACCAATCTGTTTCTGATTCTTACCTCATAATCTATATGTGTTGGATGACACAGATAGCTGAAGCATCTGAGATACTTTATATAAGTACCTGCAGCCAGCTGGAACTTGAACGCAAGACTCCCATGATTAAAATATCTGCATTTTACCAAGATTGATGAACAACAGTGGGGTATAACTCTTTTTAGATTTCTTTTTGTAGCAGTTCCCTAAACTTCCATGTGTTTTTCCCTAAATTCATCAGTATTAATCTCTATCAGTCGTTGGACATGTTGTTAACGTATTCCAGCAAGATACTTCTATTTCATAGTAACAAAGGAAACCCACCAAAGACAGCAAGTCCACATTTATTCAGTATGTCGGGGAAAATGCACATAGACTTTGGCGTATTCATCAGCACTGGGTTTGGTTTTTTGATCAGAACAAAATCCAAAGGAATAAAAATATTAATACCTTTTTTTGCAAGACCTTAATCCAGAAATAACTTTAAGCATCCTTCACAAGACACCTTGTATTATTTAACAGCATATGTTCTTTTAGGAAATATGATGCTGAATAAATGGAAGAGAAGCTTTCATCAAAATAGTCCAGTGGATTCAAACACCAGTTCTTCAAATATACCCAGACACATACAATCCATTCTTTATATGCCATAACCAATATATAGGAGCAGTGTGTATTCTAAATTCCAATGTGATCTACTCCTGCAGTCCGAAACAGCTTCACATATTATTCCTTGTGGATTGCTTTGCCTAGCTTGATCTCCTGTTATAACATTTCCTTACGGCTGTATCTCTCATTTCCATAAATGAATCATCAGAATTTATTTTTCCAAAGAAGCTTTTGGTTCATCCTCACAATGCATATACAGTGGTACCTTGGTACTCAATTGCTTTGAAACTCATCGAATTTGGTACTCAACACATTTTGATGTGAAAAGTTTGTCCCGGTACTCATTGTTTGTTTGGTACTCAACGTACGAGTTAGAACTTGTCGGTGTTAGCTGCCTTGTGACTCACTACCTTATTCCTTATGGGAAAAATTGTTTGGTACTCATTGCTTTTGGTACCTATCGCATCACCCAGAACTAATTAACGATGAGTACTGAGATACCATTTTACATTATTGCAAAATATACTTTAATTTTTTTTAATTTAAACAAAGTTTAAACTACTTCCCTGCTTATTCATGTTTTTTCTATTATTTCCTATGCCTCCTTTTCAGAGACCTTTCATATCTATTGCTTGTGAAGGATTTCTGCAGAACCAATGCAATCAAGCAAATAAGGAGTAAATTATGAAATCAGGATACAAGTTTAGACAGCCATAAAAGGCAATTAGAATAAGGTTATCGGTGACCGAGAGTCAGGATGGCTATATGCTACTCAAAGCAGGGGTGAGCTTCAAAAATTTTAGCAACGGCCCGGTTGCTGGGTGAGTGTGGCCATGGTGGGTGTGGCTTAGTCAGCCTCTTGCACCATGGCGGAGGGCGTTTTTGCCCTCCCCAGACTCCCAAGGCTTTCCTCAAGCCTCTGGGAGGGCAAAAACAGCCTCCCCAGGCTCCGGAGGCTCGGGGAGGGCAAAAAACGGGCCTCCTGGAAGTTCAGGAAGTCTGGAAGACTTCAGGAAGACCCGTTTCCATCCTCTGGAGGGCCTCCGGAGCCCAGGGGAGGCCGTTTTCACCCTCCCGGAGGCTCAAAGAAACCCTCCAGAGCCTGGGGAGGGCAAAAACGCCCCCTCCCACCATGATGCAGGAGGCCGAGTAGAATGGGGCGAAACTCACTTAACAAATGTCTCACTTAGCAACATAAATTTTGGGCTTCAATTGTGGTCATAAGTCGAGGACTATCTGTAGTCATATTTTGGCTTGAACAAAAGAAAAAATTAATCTGAAATCAGATTGGGATCATTCAGCTGAATCTTTGCTAAAGGCGTAGATGAACTAAAAAATGAGATGACTTTGAGTCGTTAATAGATAATCTATCAAGGAACACAGTTTAGCAGCTAACTTCCCATTGTCCCTGTCCTTCATTCTTCCTTCTTGCTACTTACTTTTATGCCTTTTCCAAGTGCGTTTTTACCATAATATTAGGTGAAAATATACTGTTCTGTTGTACTTGGCTTGCCTATTCCAATTTCTAATTAAGAATCCGCCTCCAAAATGCTATTTCTTTTTGATATAAAAATCATTCATTTAGAAAACTCCCGCTGATTATCACAGACCACAACAAGTTCATAATAATGTTTCGGTGATGGATTGTACCGGTGTAAAGCTTTCGACAAACAGCTCATTCAGCTGACATAACACTAAGTATATCTTGCCAGGAAAAATGACCAAGTAGGTTTTTTTTTGTTTTTTTTTAGCAATCTTCTTCAAGGATATATATGCAAACATATTCTTACATTTGTCTAGGCCAGATTCTGCCAATGAACTAGTAGTGTACATGGATTGAGAGCTCAACAACAAGCGGAAATGAAAGCATGGAACGCCTTAGGTTAATAAAGAACGAGCTTCAATTTTTATCACTATATGAATGGCGATAATGAGATTTGCTAAGATTATTTTAATAAGGAATGTTTGTAAAACATAGTGACGCATGAAGCCAGTTCAGATTTTGGATATACAACAGTACCTATTCAGAAGTTTAGCATAATTCTAGCTTGTGGTTAATAGTCCAGTGAAGTGGCTAATAAGAGCAGGCCCAAGAGCTACATCCTAGAGCTGTGATGGTGAACCTATGGCACGTGTGCCACAGGTGGCAAGCAGTGCCCTCTCTGTGGGCACGTGAGCCGTCACTCCAATTCAGTTCTGCCACGCATGTGTGTACGCCTCTTGCCGGCCAGCTGGTCATCAGGTCTCTGCTGCACATGGGATAAGCTGCATGCAGGGGCTCATGCGCGCATGCACGGGGGGCAGGGCATGTGCAGGGGGTGCGTCTGCATGCGCGAGTACATGCGGGGAGGTTGTGCATGCATGCAAGGGGTGAGCATGCATTGCATTTTGGGGTTTGGAGCAGTTGCGCATGTGCGCTTTGGATACTCCATCCAGAAAAGTTTAGCCATCACTGTCCTACAGAAACTCAGTTTGTGGAATGTAAATATTAATTCCAATTTATAGAGGAAAAGTAGAGAAGACAATTCACTGTAATTCACAACTCTCACCCAAACGTCTTCCACAATTAGTCAAATCTTGCCCTTCCTTTGGCTTTTTGTAGGAAATAGCTAACAGACCCATTATAAAAATCTCATGCTCTCTCCTCTTACTTCTCTTCAAAGAAATTCAAAAATTGGCTGCAATACAATCCAGATTATTGCATCAACTCATTATCCTATGTCACACACATTTAAAATCTAGACCAAATACTTTGGGCTGCTTACAATGAATGGGCAACATGGCTCTGTCTGAAAACTTTTGCATCATAGATAGAATAGGACTCTTTCTGCACAATCTTTAAAAGCTTTTGGTCTTAACAAGGTCGACTGTATTTGGTATATTTCGAGAAAGACATCAAAATCAATCAAAGAACATGACAATATTCACAGGTTGTTTTCTAGGGGGTCATGTGATCTCCTTTTACAATTTTCTGACCGGGAAACTCAATGGGGAAGCCAGATTCACTTAACAACCGTGTTGCTAACTTAACAACTGCAGTGATCCACTTAACAGCTGTGGCAAGAAAGTTCGTAAAATGGGGCAAAACAAAGAGCCTTGATAGTACAGTGGTTTAGTGCACCCTGTTATTAACACAGCTGCCTGCAATTTCTGCTGGTTCGAATCTCTCCAAGGCTCAAGGTTGACTCAGCCTTCCTTCCTTTCTAAGGTAGGTGAAATGAGGACCCAGTTTGTGGGGGCAATAAGCTGACTTTGTATAAAATATACAAAAGAATGAAGGCTATTGCTTAACGCATTGTAAGCCGCCCTGAGTCTCCGGAGAAGGGCGGCATATAAATCAAATTAAAAAAAAACCTCACTTAACAACTGTTTTGCTTAACAACAGGAATTTTGGGCTCAATTGTGGTTGTAAATCAAGGACTACCTGTCGCCAACTCTAGTACTAAAAGTTATGGTAAATATCCTCATAGGATATTATGGTTTGTATATTATGAAGATAAAAACCAAATTATTTTCCCAGGCATCATTCAAGCACTGCATGGAGGGAACGCAAAGTATTATTATTCTTAATCCCTACTAATCCAGCCACCCTTCCATTGTGAGCATCTCGAATATGGATATCCTAGTGTATTGCTTGTTTTATTGTCAATATGCACCTTCTTCGCACAAAGCTTTAAAATTTAAACCATTGTCTTTGTGGCTTATTGTAGCCCTCTGGGTTATTCAATACATCAAATTGTCTGATTTGGCATTAGGTATCAATCTAGCCTGAACAAATCAG